TTTTCACACAGGTAGGTGCTGCCAAATACAGATAAAAATCCCCGAGCATATGATCTTAATTGACCGTATTCATCGCTTGGAAGACATTTATAGAATTCTATTAGATTCTTCTCTTGAAATTTGCTTTTTAGCATGTCATCACACTGCAGAGTAATCACTTCCAATTGAAGGTTAGGTGGAAGCTTCTCAATTGTACAGTCAAATGGAATTTGAAATATGGAAATGTCTTCTGCACTTGCATCAGATCCGAAAAACGCTGCTGGAACTGTAGTTTAAGTTCAGAAAATATATCCGCTGCACATTTGTGAGGAAATGGAGATTTCATTTCTTTTAATTTTTGACAGCATAGGAAATTCACAAAGCAGTTTGAAATTTCAAAGAATTTAAATTGTAAAATCCGTTCTTAGCTCGCGAGCCGTACAAAAAGAGGCGGCGGGCCGTAGTTTGCCGAACCCTGATCTAGATTCATTAATTGATATTGCAATAGTGACCTCTGAAGATTCAACACTGTTAATAACAAAAGCGTCATGCTACGCGAAGCACCCGTCTCCTATCCTCATATACAGTGTGTCCACAAAGTCCCTTCGGGGTTTTGAAAAATTGTGGCGCCCAAACAAATTTAGCTAGCCACATGCGGTTTGCGGCAGATTACAGCGAAACTCTGGAAGTCTTTTTTGCCGCCAACAGATGGCATAAGCGGCAATCTTTATGATTCTCAGTCAGTTGTTTATGAAATGGCGACTGAGCAGGAACGCGCGCGTTGTGAGGGATGGCTTTTTGAGACAACATCAATCACCCAGACTCAACGAAATTACCGCACACAGTTCAATGAGCAACCTCCGAGTGACACTGCAATAAGAACGGCTTTTCCTAAAACTGGTAGCGTCCATGATCGCAAGAGAAGTGGCAGACCGGGTGTAAGCGATGAATGTGTGGAAAGAATCCGTGATTCGTTTGTACGAAGCCGTACAAGATCCACACGGCGCGCTTAGCGTGAATTGTTACTCCCACGTTCAACGGTACACAAAGTGCTACATAAGAGGTTGAGGTTATATGCATACAAGGTTCAGTTAGTGCAATAGTTGAAACCTGGTGATGGCATAGCACGTCAACACTTCGCAGAAGAAATGCTCGACCGCACTGACCTTGATATGGATTTCTTGAAAAAAATCATGTTCACAGACGAGGCAACATTTCTTGTCTCGGCTAAAGTTCACAGGCATAATGTTCGCATATGGGTCACTGAAAACCCACATGTTGTTTGGGAGCACATTCGCGATAGTCCGAAAGTGAACGTGTGGTGTAATGCATGACCAGGTTATTGGACCCTTTTTTTTTTCAAGATCAGACGATCAACATGAACACCTTCCTGGACATGCTGGAACTGTACGCAGTACCGCAAATTGAGCACTTACAGCCACACATCATTCTGCAACAAGATGGTGCTCCACCTCATTGGGGTCTGC